TGTTGAACCTCATGAGGTTCACACAGAACCCCTTCTTCAGCCTGTCCCCATCCCTCTGGCTGGTGAGATATCAGAGGGCAACAGAAGACTCCCTGCTAGGGAGGAAAAAAGCATTGGGTAGGGGAAACAGTGTTGAGAAGAGGAGGGTGTTTGAGGGGTGCAGGGTCACCAGCTGCTCTGGGTCCCCAACAGAGCAGTGAGCTGGGAGGTGTCACAGAGCAGGGGCAAAGCCTTCCCCGCCTACAGGATCCGGGGCAGGCACAGGGCTGGGATGGACCCGTGGGTCAGAGCACTGCTTATATACGGGCTGAAGCAGAAGCACGATGGATCAGCACGTGGCAGGTGGCCCCCAACCCTTCCCAGGCCACTCTCTGGGCAAACCCCAAACTCATCAGCCACAAATCAGCACCAAGAAAGGCAAGAGGGCTCTGCCTCTCCCAAAGTGACAGCAGGACCTTGCCAAAGCCGCAGAGGGCATCAGGAAACCCTCGCACACGTGCAGCGTTGGCTCTCCCACCCTGTGGGTACCACCACCACAGCCCTTCCCACCTAAAGCGGCCGCGGATTAAGAATCGGTGGAGAGAGCAAGAAAACCGTGTCCTGCCCGGCTCCGGCGGGAAGGGCTGGGGCCACACGGGCCCCACCTGGTGGCCAGCGCTCGCCCGTTCCGGAGCCACAGCAGAGCAGAGGAGGGTTAGATGCTGAAGTAATGTCTGGTTAGTTAGAGCTGGTTAGTTATTTATGCGTCTTATTGTAAATGCAAAACGGTGAAGTCACTTAATCATTTCTCAGACACAGATGACAGAGCACGTGATTTGGCAGAGTAAGTTTTCGGCTAGCTCTAAATGAATTGCACAATATTTAAACCTGATTCAGTACATAATAGGCTCAGCAAAGGATTACGTACCTCCTTGCATTTTATACATTATATACACACACACAGAGACAGGCGTTGGATCATGAGCTGCATTTTAGTCTTGTCAAGAGACGACTGCCTACTGCAGAGTGACTGAAGTGATACCCTTAAGAAGGAAACTATTCTTGAGGTGCTTTGCTGGAAGAGAGAAGGTCCTTTTTGGGGTGATTCTTGTGGGTGGGAGTCACAGACAGGGATCAGTGGACAGATAGAAGGGGTAAGGGGCTGGGGACGGGCAGGGCCCTGGCGAGCTGTGGCACACTGAGCTCCTGGCCTGCAGTGGGCAGGAGGTGTTTGAGCCGAGGGACCACATCGGATACTGTTCAGGCTGCTTTTCTAGGGCTTGGAGGAAAAAAACTGGCTTGTTTAAAGTGCATTTAGAGTCTGAAAAGCATCTCTGAGAAGGAGCTTTCCCTGCTCCTGACCCTGCAGTGTCCATCGGCTCTTTTCCACCAACCACCTTTCCCAGCTGCCACAGCCCAAGAGGTGTTAGGCTGAACTCAGCTTCCTCCTGCTGCAGCATAAGGCCATTATTTAAAGCCCGACTTCCCCTAACTGGGCAGGGATTTCTGCTTGCCCTACTAACCCCTTAACAGGGCTGACAGGAGCAGGGATTTCTGCACCAGGAAAACACACAGCCATGTTCCACCACACTTTTTAGAAGTGCAAGTGAGCAGGAATCCTTCCCACCAGCCTGGAGGTTTCCTAAAGAGCCTTAAATTAGAACACACCTCAAAAGCTAACGGGGACAAATCCTGGCCTGGCTATTTACAGAGTCTGAGAGACCTGTTGCATGTGCTTACATACAGTGTAGCAAGATTTGACCCAGAGCCTTGCCCAAGAATAGGTCCTCTGAGAAATGCTCAGCCAATTTTTATAGCTGCTTTTCAAAATAGAAGCCTTTAAAAAAACGGACTTGGGCTGCAGAATTGGGAACGGGAGGGATGTATCCCACAGGGAAAGCCTGTCCTTGCTCCCCAACACACACGCACGCACACACACAGTGCCGGGGCTCCTGCCCACAGTCACAAACACTGAGCTTCCACAGCAAAATGTAAACTACTCACAACACCACACACTGAGAGAAGTTGTAGATCCTGAGCCAGGGTGTAGATTTGGAATCTCTTGGCTTCCAACATATCAACAACAGGATTGAGGGGTTCTTTTTTTTCCTCTCCCCTTTTTTTTTTCCTCCCACTCATCCTTTTTTTAAAAAACACTAAATCAGCCAGCCACCTGCGAGTTAAAAAGCAAAAGAAAGGGGAGAATTCCAGGATTGCTTGCCCTTGCTGAGAAAGTGGCAAGTGGCTGGATGCTACCAACTGAAAGAGCGGGGAAAAAATAACAACCTCACACACATCAGAAAGCTGTGGTTCAGGGCCTGTTCTGAAATGGGAGACAGGTGCTGGTTGCAGTTTTCATCTTTCCCTTTTTGGGGGGAGGGGGGGCAGGGGGTGTTTGGCTGATGTAGTACTAACGTACACCTATCACCACAGTAATAATAAAACCACCACCATACACTATTTCACAGGGAAAAAGAAGACACGTGAATGTACACTTACTACCACGCACAACAAGAGCCCTGCAGGTCAACTCATGGCCTCCTCAAAGTGAAAAAGAAAAGAACAGCTCAAGACGGTAACAGGGAGGGGAAAAAAAAAGGGAAGAAAACCCAACAAAATGATCTCATTGCAAAGAATGGGAAGAGAGGAACCGTTACAGTACACTCGGAATAGCTGCAGGAACTCGGCTCAGCCTTCCTCCTCCTCCTCCTCCTCCTCCTCCTCCTCCCTTCCCCCCAGATCTTTCTCCCGAGGACAGAGTCCCGCTCCTCACATCTCGTTGGAGTAGGTGTAGTTTGGGGTGGCCGAGTACTGCGTCTCGTGCTGCATCATGGCCCCCTGCGCCGCCCCCATCGCCGCGTTCTGTGCCGCCTGCTGCACGTGGGGGTTCTTCCACGCCCCCGTGGTCCACTCCTCCTGGGCTTTGCTGAAGCTCCCGCCGCTGCCCCGGTAAAACTTATGCACCTGTAACGGGTCGGGAAGAGAAAACCCAGAGGTGTTGAGCACCTACAGCCCCACAAGGGGGGTTGCCCCCCCCCATGGCACCCCCCTCTCCTCCCGTACCATGGTGAGAGCGATGAAGGAGAAGACTGCCATCCCCGTGAACAGGACGGTGGGGATCAGCATCACCACAGCCGAGCCCACGTTGGTCCCGAAGAAGGAAATGGCTGCAATCCAGCCGCTGCAAGGAGAGCAAAACCAGCTGTCTGTTCAGGGAGCCTGAGGCCTTCCCGCCTGGCTCTGCACACCCCAGCCTGCCCGCATCCCTCCCAGCTCCTCAGAGCAGCTCCCCTGCAAGGAGAGGAGCACTGAGGATGTCAACACACCCAGAGGCCACAGCACCAGTGCAACTGTCCTAGAATCACAGACTGGTTTGGCTGGGAAGGGACCTTTCAGGGCCATTAAGTCCAACGCCCCTGCAGGGAGCAGGGACATCTGCAATTAGAGCAGGTTGCTCAGAGCCCCGGCCAACCTCACCTGGAATGGTGCCAGGGATGGGGCATCCGCCACCTCACTGGGCAACCTGGGCCAGGGGCTCAACACCCTCAGCATCAAAAATTGCTTCCTTCTCTCAGGTCTAAATCTCCCTCTTTTAGTTTGGACCCATGACTCCTTCTTGTCCTGTGACAACAAGCCTGGCTCAAAAGTCTGGTCCCATCTTTCTGACAGGTCCCTTGAAGTCCTGGAAGGCCACAAGATCTCCCCAGAGACTTCTCTTCCCCAGGCTGAACAACCCCAACCCTATCATCAGCCTGGCCTCACACACAACACAAGAGCAGCATCTTCCTTTCCTTACCAGACACCCCAGCCAGGGATTCCCACTGCCTGGATAATGCTGATCACCAGCTGAGCCATGAAGGTGAAGAAGAAGGCCATGAAGCTGAAGGAACTGTCTGTCCTGCAAGAGAAGGCTCAGTCACACTCCACGCCTCCATCTCTGCTGCTCCACAAGGGAGAGAAGATGCTTCCATGTCTCAGACTCTTTCAGGGCAGAAGCCAGAGGGTGGCAAGTAGCAGAGCTGCCTGCATGCAGCAGGCACCAGAGCAACACTGAAGTCAGGGAGAAACTACGAGAGGCTGAAGGGGCACCTGGGAAAGCCACAGGGCATCAGGCCCTCCCCACAGCTCAGCCAGCTCTGTGTGAAACAGCACCCGTGTTCTGACATGGTTCGCGGCTCACACTACCCACCATCCCTCAACAATCCCTCACAGGGAATAAATATACTCCCAGTTTTCTACATTTGGGGATACTGCTCTGGGGATTGTCCTCAGCAGCACAGATAATCAACACAAGCACCTTGAGGACTTGTGGAAAAATATAAAAGTAGCCCCAAGAATGGGTGGAAGAGGGGGGAAAGTTGTCACCTCAACTGCATGCTCACCACTCTCCCTGACACTGAACAGAGCCCCACGTGGGATGTCTTTGTATCACATAGCTCTTGGGAAATCCCAAACACCCTCGCTTTGAAGCTGAGAAAGTAAAGCCAAAGGGCTGGACAGGAGGAGCAGAAATTCCCCCAGATAATCAGGCAATGCCCCAAGCTAAGTGCTAACCATTTAGGAAGGGAAACAAAACCAAAAAAAAAAAAAAGGCTGTGAGAAGCCAGGCTGAAGTGTGACCACTTACTTGAAAGCTTTGTAAATAGGTCTAAACCAGCAGACATAGGAGCAGGGCGTAAAGAGAATGAGCCAGAGAATTGCCAGTCCAAAATTAACAGCTCCACCGCCTCCAATGAGCCATGCGAGGCAGCCAACGAGATTCACCGCCAAGGTGATGCTGTTCACTGCAAACACACACACACACACAGAGGGAGCAGAGTAGCGTGTACACAAGGACGTCAGTGAGACAGGAGAGAGCCCGACCCCAGGGATGCCCCGGTAAGGCTGACCTCCAGCAATGTGTTACCCTAACTGGACCGCCCTTAATTTAACTGGAATTAAGCTAGCTCAGCCAAAGGAAGCCTGACTTCAGCTGAGGAGGAAGAGGGGAAAAAAAATACATTGCTCATGGGTGTAATGTCTTAAGCAGGTCCAGGCTTCGTGGGGCTCTGAAGGCAGGGAAGAGCTGCATCCTCCCAGTGATACATTTCCACCAACAGAAGGAAACTGGAGGAATCAAACTGAAGTTTTTTGGGTTGCCTCCAGCTACAGTTTTGCTGAAGGAGCCTGTGCAGGAGCAAGGAGTGCTGAACTCCCAGCCCTCACCGCCCCAGTTCAGTGGCACGTGTGCTGCTTCCACCCCTGCTCAGGGTTACACGACACAAGGGCCGTTACTATGAAGCCCAGCTCAGCAGACACAGGACAAAGCTAAGAAGGCTCATCTGCATTCTGACGCCTCCGATTTTTGAGAATGATTCATTATTTCAACGAGAATTAAAACCCTCCCACTGCCGCCCGCAAGAGAGCTGCAGCTGGCAAGAAAGGCAGCTCAGTTGGCTACGCTGAGCGGGCACCCGCGACTCCCTAAAGCCCCCAAGGACACCACAGGGACCTTTCTGCCTCTCTGTGCTTGCGTCTGGCTGGCTGTTTGCGGGGGAGCTGGGGAGAAAATGATGCCAAGAGGAGCTCCAGAGACAGGAGCCAAAAGACAGCGACTGGCTCGGAGAGCTGGTGCTTATGCTGTGGGAGAGGCTGGAGCAAGAACTGAGCTCTGTTAAATTAAGAAGAGCAAGAACAGCCAGTTTGAGATGGGAAGGGGATTTAACACCCTCAGAACAGCTTCTCCAAAGAAGAACACCTGGTTTTTTTCTTCCCCTTCATAGAAAAGCTACACTAATCCTCCTGACACGATGGGGTAAGTTGCCCCAGGGTCACCTTCCCAGTGGGATGTGGACCCGGAAAGCCAGGGCAGCACCCTGGGGGTGCTTTTGGCAGAACCACCTGACCTCTCCAGTGCCAGCTCAGCTCCTCGTAACCTGCTTCCAAAGCACCGGGCACTCCCTGAGCACATATATGCTTCCAAAGTTCAGGGCAAACACCTGTCAGGAGCTTCTTCTTAAAAGAAACAAAACAACTGTGCAAGCTGGCCCCAAGCTGCACGCACGTGTTTCCATGTATGTTGGGGTGTGATCTGTCCCTCTGGCTCTTCTCCCCACCCAGGGATGGTAAGGAAGAGAGATGCAGGCAAGTTTTAAGAGTTACAAGACGGTGACAGCTCTGTTAGCACAGCATAGCACACCAAGTCATGCAAGAGGAACAGGCAAGACCCAGCTTCAGAGGAAGCCCCAGGCTCCCCTGTTTTGGGGAGCAGGCACCCTGGCCCTCCACTCCAAGCAGCATCTCAGCCTTGGGCTGCTGCTGAAGGACTCACAAGGAGTTTGGGGTGGCAGAGAAAGCCCTTTCTCCAGCCCAGCTGCCAAAGGAAGCCAACAAAGGCTTGGCAGCTCCCTGGTGGGGTAAGTGAAGAGGAAGAGGGGAGTAAATCCTTCAGCAGGGGGATATGTGGGTGCTGAGCAGTCTCCTCAGCTCCAGCGGGACGTCAAGGTTACCACCAACGGCCCTCAGATGCCAAGCCAGCTCCACACCTCCATCCTGAAGGCTGGAAGCGCTGAGCCTCATGGGATGTTACAACCCCCAGTCCCATCCCCAAAGTGTTTTAACAGGAGACACCAAGGCCTGGAGGGGCAGGAGTGACCTTGCTCTGCTCTTTCAGCCAGTGACTTCCAGAGGAGCAGCCTTCAGAGTCTCAAACAAACCCACCCGAGCCCCTCCCCACGCAGCGACTCACACATCCAGAGGTAGTAAAGCCGCTTGGCCATGGTGCGGTGCTGCGGCGGGATCTCCGCGTCGAAGTCCTGGTAGAAACATGGCTTCAAGGGGATGAACTTCGGCAGGGGAGGGAAGTTGTTAGCTTTTTCTGCAACAAAAAGTTCCACCGCCATTGGGCACTAACACAGAGCTGAACACAAATCAAGAAGCCTCCTAATTAATCTTGTTTGGCCCAAAGAATTGACTAGTTCCACATGGGAATTAAGGGTTTCCCCTCGTAGCCACCAACCACCCACGTACAGGCTTCAAGACAAATTTAGCCCTTGCTGGCCACGTGGATCCTGCAACTGTGAACACCCACAACCCCACCAGGGACTAACAAAGTGACATTATGGCCAGTAAAGCCACATCTGGGCTTCAGAGGCAAGGGGTTAGCCCTGCCAGAGACCACACCCATACCTGCCATGCCGGCACTCGCTCAGCCTCTCCGTTCCACAGCACAAACAAGGGAAAAAATTCTGGGAGCTTTACCAAAGCTAGAGGAAAACAAGAGAAAAAGTGAAGTGGTCAGGTACCTCCCCGAGGAGCTTTCACCTTCCCCCAGCTCCAAAATAGCTCAAGGACAGCGCTGTAAGAAGGCAAGTTGCTTTATTTACGTGGGCACCCTCTTCACACATCCAGGCTTACCACTGGCACCTGGCTGCAGCAGAACAAATCCTGGCTCCTACAGCCTGAGGCTCACGCACAGGTTAAGGCGGAAGATTAAGAGAAGATCCAGCAACATGAAAGCTTAACCTCCCACTCCCAACTGACCTACATCTAGCCCTAGGGGAGGGGCCAGGGGAAGGGATGGCCTCATAAGCACTGAGGCCACTGTGGGCACTTTGAAAGCCTCAAGTTCATTCCTTGGCCCAAACCCTTTTTTTTTTTTAATTATTTTTTCTTCTTTTTATGTTTTTTTTTTTAAAGAGTTCTAGCACAGCAAACCACCTGGCTGCCTTCTGATAACATTACAGCTCCCAAGCGAGAAACAAGGCTGAAAGGGAAATCAGCTGAAAATATCATCTGGAAAAGAAATCAATCAGTGATGTTTGTCATTAATGAGTCACTTAAGTATGGCTTAACGATTATTCAGGTCATTTGGCACCTTGTGCCTATTTTGCAGGTGGGACAGGTGGGGAGCTCAGCATCCCAGGACAGAATTAGGCAAAATCTAAACAAAAATTAAGAGCTAAGGTTTTGAAAGTAAGCGTGAAGGCAGATTTTGCCCTCTCCCAGTCTGTCGGGCAGGGCAACGGCAACAGTGAACACATATTTCATGACATGGGGGCCCAGCAGCTTCAGGCTCTGGGGGAAGATCTGGGGATTCCCGCATGCCCTACGCCCAGCACCAAAGACGCCGTCCAGGCAAAGCAAACGCCCACGGCCAGCTCCATCCCTGGGTGCTATAAATACGAGCTGCTGACGTCTCCCCGGGCACAGTCT